TAGATTTGTCTTTTACTCTATTTCATTATACATATATTTTTTGAGAGAGAGACAGAGATAGAGAATCTTAGGCACCATCTTTGCCCAGTGTAGAGCCCAACACAGAGCTTGATCCCACAACCATGAGATCATGACCTGAGCCAAAATCAAGAGTTGGATGCTCAACCGACTGAGGCACCCAGGCACCCCTATCCTGTTCTATTACTAAAACACCTGTTCTAGGTAATAATTTATTATTAGATTTTGTGTGTTCAAATTACTATTATAGTTCCTCTGCTCTGACTGGACTGGTCTGATGACAGAGTAAATATATACCCACTTGGTGATCTTGCAATTCATCAGACTTCTTCCAAGCCAACTATTGGTAAGATTAAGTAAGCAAGGTGAACAAAGATGGAAATAATGTAGAAAATCTGACATAACCAAAATAATTCTACAGACCATATTAGGCTAGGTAATGCAAGGAAAATGCATCATTAGGAAAAAGGTCTAAGGCCTTCAAGTGTCTCAAGAGCCTACCATGATGTTAAATACATGTATCAGTTTAGAGAATATCTCCATATAAAAGTGCATGTGCACACACACAAATACACACTCCAAAACAGAAAAGGAAAACTAAGAAAATCAAAGTAAGTCATTTTTTATTCATTTAAACTTAATTTAAATGTTGCCAGCTACAGTTCCACTCAACTCAATTTAACCTATATCATATGGATCATGAGTGCACTTTAATGTTTAACACAATGTATGGTAGGGTCCCCCATGTGTGAAGCATATCTGGAACTAGCTAGAATTGTTTTAGAGTTCTTGAGCTAGACTCACTGAAGAGGGCAAAATTTTTAATTCAATTCAGATGAAGGAGTTTAAATTTGTTCTGTTGCTAATGACTGCACACCTAACAACAGCCACCAGCTTTTTACTTTTATTGTTTGTGCATCAACTTGTTAATGTGTACCTTATTTTTAAGAATGACAGCGGCAAAGAGAACCAAAGACATGTAACTGCTAGGATCATGATTCCCAGATAATGACTGCTTTTCTCACATGTGGTCCTGTCCTAGTTCTGGGGCACGTTGTCCTTAACCTTACAGTCTTCAACTTCACCTGTCAGCACTCCCTGCTCTTCGTCTCAACTTGACATCCATGGATTCCTTACGTTGACTGCTAAGCTTTCATTATTGCAGGAGAATTTTAATGATGTTCCCATTTTTTTACTTGATTTCTCCCAGAATTTAGGATTTGTAAAAATATATAAATTTCCCTGGGTACCTGGATGGCTCAGTTGGTTGAGTATCCGACTTCAGCTGAGGTCATGATCTTGCAGTTCATGGGTTCGAGCCCCACGTCAGGCTCTCTGCTGATACCTCAGAGCCTGAAGCCTGCTTCCAATTCTGTGAATCTCTCTCTCTGCCCCTCCCCCGTGTGTGCTCTGTCTCTCTTTCTCTCTCAAAAATGAATAAACATTAAAAAAAATTTAAATAAATTTCTCAACAAATGCCTGCATGGAATTCTTAAATAAACCACTAACTGAATGATCCCAGTTTCTTTTCCATTTTTATTTTTTTCTCTAAATTTGAACTTTAGTAAGGTATAATTGACAAATAAATTATAAGATAATTAAGAGTACAGAGTAATGATTAATATACATATACATTGTGAAAGGCTTCCCTCATTTGGTTAATTAACACATCTATCAATTTATATTTATGTTTGTGTGTGAAAACACTTAAGCACTACTTTCTTAGCAAATTTTAATTATACAATACCAAGTTATTAACTATAGTCACCATATTTTGCATCGGATCCTCAGACCTTATTCATCTTGTAGCTGAAATTTGTGTTCTTTCACCAACCTCTCCCTATTTCCTTTACCCCTAGCCCTTGGCAACCACTTAATCTACTCTGTTTCTGAGTTTGAATTTTTTTTTAAATGTGTTTCACATATAAGACATAGAATGCAGTATTGGTCTTCTTATGTCTGGCTGATTTAACTTAGCATAATACCCTCAAGGTCTATCTACGTTGCCGCAAACCCAGATTTTTGATTTTTCCCATGGCCAAATATTATTCATATATAAATATATATGAATTATATATGTGTGTATAATATATATAATGTTTCTATATCTTGCCCCTTGTGATTAATGTTGTAATGAACATGGAAGAGCATAAATCTCTCTGAAATCTTGTTTTCATGTCCTTTGCATATATACCCAGAGAGGGAATTGCTGAATTGTATAATAGTTCTCTTTTCAAATTTTGAGAAACCTTCTTACAGTTTTCCACAGTGGCTGCACCAATTTACATTTCCACCAACAGTGCACAAGGGCTCCCTTTCCTCCACATCACAAACAATACCAATCTCTTGTTTTTTTAATGACTGCCAGGTGTGAGGTGTGAGGTGATAGTTTATGGTGGTATTGATTTGCAGTTTCCTGATGATCAGTGATGGTACTTGTCATGTACCATTGGTCATTTGCATGTCTTTTTTGTAAAAATGTCTATTCAGTCTTCCTTTTATAAATTGGATTGTTTGTTTTTCTAATGAGTTGTGTCAGTTCTTTATTTATTTTGGTTATTAACACCTTATCAGATGCATGATTTGCAGATATTTTCTCCCATTGTGTAGGCTGTCTGTCCATTCTGTTGACAGTTTCCTTTGCTGTGCAGAAGCTTTTTAGTTTGATGTAGTCCCATCTGTTAATGTTTTATTTTGAGGTCAGGTCCAAAAAACCATTACCAAGACTGGTGTCTAAGGGCTTCTCTCCCATGTTTTCTTCTAATGGCAATACAGTTTCAGGTGTTCTGTTCATGTCTTTAAGCCATTTTGAGCTAAAGCTCCCTGCTTTCTAAACGTGTGTTAGTAATCCCACAGTATGCTCAGAAGAAAAAGAAGGAGGATTAGTCTAATCCTTTGTCACCACTGGAAAAAGTCACCTTATACATTTTGCCAAAAATATGTGAGTTTGTCCAAAACCTCCAGAAAATAAACATTTCATATATCTAAAAGAAGTATTTATTTTTCTATTTTTGATTTTTTAGTTAGAATAAACTTTGCAAAAATAAAAACACACAAAAAACATTAAAAGTAACTGTTAGCACCAATATTCACAACAAAAAAATCCACAACATTTAAAATTTGGTATCTTGGGTCCTATGTTATTTGCCTTTCTGATTTGCTGGTAAGAAGACACGAAAGGTAACACTAAAGGAACCATCATATATATACTATCTTGCTAATTTTTCAATGTCATGCCTGACAAAATTCTGACTGTTTGATTCCACATAGAGATCAGGTGCTCATTCTCACTCTCATTCTAATATTTGAGATCACCTACCGAGACAAAGTGTAAAGATATATAGTCTTTACAGCCAACCAATAATCTTTAGAATACATATTCTGGCTAAATACCTCTCTGTCATCTTTTCAAGTTCCTGTACACTTAAAGTTGACCTATAGAAAGAGGCAGATTAATATATCAGATCACAATTTAAGATAATGCAAGGGAGGGGATTGGATTAGTTTGAAAAGTAGGATTTTTTTGTGTTGCTGTAGAATTGTGGTAAGGCCTGGAGTTAAGAGAGGAAAAAAAGCACTTAAATCTGTACATTATAATATGAAAGAACTTCAAAGACCTGCCCATGTTCAGTATTATACCCATCCCCAAAGTTGAGGATCATTACCCCTGTGCTACCTTACATTTTCAGCTGTCCAAGTCAATTTAATAAAAAGGACTATGAGAAGTATCCGGGTGGCTCAGTCGGCTAAGCGTCTCACTTCAGCTCAGGTTAGGATCTTGATCTCACAGTTCCTGAGTTCTAGCCCTACATACGGCTCTTTGCTGTCAGGGTAGAGCCCACTTTGGATCCTCTCTCTGCCCCTCCCCCAAGTGCACATGGGTCAGAGTCGTGCTCTCTCTTTCTCTCTCAAAAATAAATAAACATTAAAAAAGTTAAAAAGGACTGAGGTCAAAGAAGTGATTCTGATGAAAGACAAAGCAAACTTCTTAAATGATAGAAGTAGCATATCTGCTTCCTGAAGGAAAGGTAGAGAGGTCCCAATGAATTAGTTAACATTTATTGCTGTCCACGTTAAAGGAAAACTTCATTTTTCTGTTTATTCCAGTGAAAAACCTCCAAACTTGGCATCCTTCCCAATGGGTTATTGGACAAAGAAGTCAGGGAAAGGTGCCATGATGGAGGGTAGCCAAGCAAAGAAGAGATAAGAGCATTTCCTCTAATTCTCACTTCCTGGGCCATGAAAAAGGTGGATGAAAAGTACTTCAACAAAACTTTCTATAACTGAGCACTATAGTTAGCAGCAGAAATGGAAGACTTAATACTAAAATTTTTATGCTTAATCAATAATTATCTATGATGTGTTTAGCCCACCGGTGTCTAGCCCAACTTACCAATTACCCTCTTACACCCATCTCATTAAAAAAAATACATAAACTCCAATTCCATTCAATCTAAGAACATCCAGATTCTAGTTTTCTTTAGACTGATTTATATATGTCTACTATGCATGTAGCTTATAGGTACTGGTATGTGTTTAGATGATGTGAGAAGCGACAAACCTTACTTAATACCAATGGAAGATTTCCATTTATAGCACTGACCATGAGCACATTCTGTAAGAAGCAGTGGTCTATGAAACTGTACAGATTTTACTCATCAAACTCCAAGCGGGTCCTTTAATCCTAGAAAATGGTCCTCAGTAATATCATTATTTTTATTTAACTAATTGTTTACCATACCATTGCTAGGTAGACAATCTTGAAAAGAATATGGAATATAATATGCTAATATAAACACTCAAGCAGGGATAGTGTACTGATATAAACAAGTATCCTTCATTCTCCAAGTATCTGGATAGACTAAATAGGCATGAGACAGACACATCATTCTACAACACTAAAAATGCCTGTTTATTTTAACCTTCCCCCATATAATGGGAACATTCTAAGAAGTAAAAATACTATTTAATGAAAAACTCACCATATCTGTATCTGAGACAGGGCCAAAACTGGTCACGTAGATGTTAGTGAAGACTTCAGTAATACTGTCTGATATGAGAAAAAGAGATTAAATATAGATAATATATAATGAAAAGAAAATGGGAAAGAGAAGGGGTCAAGTACATGGAGTGATTAGAAGACTGTGTGATATTTAGGGATGTTGCTCTTTACTTTCTTTTCAACCTTCACAAACAACAAATATTTCTATATTGTTCAATTAGTTTATAGGTTCCCACAATCATAAGTGCTAAATGCGTAGAAGTATTATGACATTCTTACTTGGAATCTACACTGGATATGGAGCATTCTGTTTTAAACATAATTCTGAGACTTAGTAATATCTTAGAATCTATTTTCAATGAATTAATTTACAATAAATTTACTATTAACGCTGAAAAATAAAGTGTGCTTAGTATACTTACTGTTTGATATAGTCCTAAATTTTATTTTTAAACTAAATATTTCAGATGGTATTTCATGATGGTAGAGGTTTAGTTTGTAGACTGTAAATTAGTATATCTTCTTAATAAGGCATAAAATGAATTGCTAATCATTAATAGTTCAAATTAATATAAAAAGCATTATTATTCAGTGGCATAAAAATAAAAGCAAATAACACACATTAATCACAATTGATTACTTCCAAACAAACTTGCCTTTAAATGTGCCCAGGAATGAAATGCTAAGATGGAATTGAATTAGATTCAAAAGTTATGTAACTTATTAACTGTAACACAATTAACTAAATTCCCCCTTTAACCAGGTGATTTGGATCTTTGTTTTTAAATAAGCCAAATGGTGATGGGGTAAAGGCTCAAAGAAAAGATTTAAAAAGAAAAATTCTTCTAGTGTATTTATACAAAAAACAATAAGTCACTAATTTTTATCATCATGAACTGAATGTCTCATCTGTCAAATTTGTAATTTCACACGAATACCACAAAATATTTTTAACATCATACTGGACACTAATTCACAACCATGAAAGAGAGTAAACCAAGTTTGAGATATTGTTTCTACCAGGCAGAAATTAAAAGTAAAAAGGATTTTGAAGTAACAGAGTAGACTGAATATGCATCAAAAGGACTTGAAAGATAATAATCCGCATGACAAACCTATGAGGTAGTTTCTCGGTTATCATCTCACTATACATATGTACATCTCACTGATGTACATACAGAAAGGTAAGGAAATGTGTCCAGTGACCCACATATGGTAGGGTGAATACAGCCCAGGTTTTAGAACCCAAGCAATCTGGCTCCGAAGCCCTCAGGGTAGACCAAAGCACTAACCACAGTCAACAATACATCTGAAACTAAAAATGTTTTCTCATTAACTACATGTTTCTATTTGCTGTAATACTCTGCACCAAAAACATATAGTGTTCTAAATATATACATTTATTCAACTTTATTATTTTTCTATTCTATTTTATTCCAAAAACTGTTTTCATGAAATTTTGCCACAAAAATCATGAGACACAAATATTTTTATGAAGTTAATTTTCAGCTGCCAGACACCCCAAAGACCTGAACAGGGTCAGGTTCATGGTCATGCAGCTCATCAGTCTCATACAGCCCTGTGCTCAGAAAAGCCCACGCTTAGTTTAATGTCCTGTTTTTGCTCTCTTGAAATTTCTTACTCATCTTTTGAATAAAGGGCTCTGTATTTTCATCTTGGACTAGGCCTCACAAATCACGTAGCTGGTCCTAGACTTGAATTATATATGCTACTAGAAAGAAATTATGAAAATGAGACTTGGGTTTCTTTGCTTTTTTCCTCTTATTCATACCAAATCAATATTGTCACATTTATTCAATACGCAATTGAATAAAACTTTAGTCATTACAGATATTGATTTAAAATGTTCCAGAGAAGAAAAACGTAAATGTTGAGGTAGTGTTCCTCCAAATAGAGGCAAGTGAAATTATTCTCCTTAGTCTGGAGTAGTAAAGTTAAAGAAGAGAGATGACAAAATATATGAGTATATTTACGCTAAGGATATGAAGAATATCCACTATATGCCAAATGGCAAGTAAAGGGTACAGAAGAGTGTTATCAGTCCCTTGTGGCTGTAGGGAAGTGCCAGCTAAGTATCCAGAGAGAGAAAATAAGATTACCTTCAAAGCTCTTAAGCAGTAAGAGCAACACCTAAAGACACAGAATAGAGATATGCAAAATTGCCTTAAATAAATGATTTCATGGTTTATTAACTTCATAAGCTTAGTTAAAGAATGTATGCACTGCAAAGGATATTCTCCTGCTATGGAAGTTCAAAAGAAGGCAAATCAGCAAGGCACACACTGACCATGAATACCCAATAGCTGTCTGAGATTGAGAACATGATTCCTGGTTGTTGCAAAATAGTTGTAAACAGCCAATGTGAATCAGTAAAATATTTTAGTGTGATGACTACAGATATCTGATACACCTAACACAGTTTTCTAAGGTTCTATATTCAAAATGCTATCATTGATTAGGATTTGCCTTTCCACAAAAGAAGAGAGGGGGAAGAAAGGGGAGGGGAAAGGAGGAGAGAGGAAATGAGATTTTATGAATATAGGTTATTTTGGTATCTTGTGACACTAATATGTCAAGGTCCACAGTATCTTCTGGTTAGTTCTTGTTTCCCCATATGGATTTAGAATGGGGTTGAGTTGTGTTGCTAATACCTGTTATATAATATTCTGATTCACATGGACAGATGTCTATTAGAGTAAACACATGAACTGACAATCTGGTGGCAACCTGTGTCTCTTCGGTTTAAGTACCATCAGTTACCTTCTCAAGTCCTGATCACATTGAGTGGACCCACCTTGACTGTCCTGACTCACAGCCTTCACATTGACTAGTACCTCTTTCTCTTCTGTTCTTAGTTGATTGCTTATCTGCTTTGAAGTCTCTATTTAAATATTTTCTCCTCAGAGAGAGGTCCACTATACCTCTATATAATGTAAGTCTACTTCCCTCATTTTTTCCCTCTTACGCTTCATTTTTTTCATAGGACATTTTAGAATTTGCCATTATTTTTATTCCTTAACTTTTGTATTCATTTTTGTTGTTGTTGTTTTTGTTTGGTTTATCTCTGCAACTCAATTCAGAGTCACGAAAAGGCAAGGACTATGCCAGTTCTGTCCACTATCCTGTCACCAGTGCCTAGCACAATGCCTGCCACATATTAGGTGCTTTATGTTTGAATTAACAAATAATTTCTAAATATATTCATGCAGATTACACACCTTTCCCCCAAATATTTCATCAACATTACACATGACCATGAATAGCTAAATGGGCACTGTCATTAGTGAAGACTGAGCCCAAACTGTCCACAGACAGAGAGCGGTTGAAAGCCTAAGGAATCGGATCCCAGTGAAGAAAATTTAAATCAAGTGAAGGGAAGAACAGACCTAGAGAAAGGACTATGTTAGTGGAAACAAAGATTTAACTGCTGATCAGTAACTGACTTTTTTTTTCTTAATTAATTTTTTTTAATGTTTTTTATTTATTTCTAAGAGAGAGAGAGAGACAGCGTAAGCAGGGGAGGGTCAGAGAGAGAGGGAGTCACAGACTGAAACAGGCTCCAGGCTCTGAGCTGGCAGTCAGCACAGAGCCCGACGCGGGGCTCGAACCCACGAACCGTGAGATCATGACCTAAGCGAAAGTCGGACGCTTAACCGACTAAGCCACCCAGGCGCCCCGATCAGTAACTGACTTTTAATAGAAATGTATACCATTAGTTATTTAAAATATTTATTTATATGCTAAATTCTTGGCTTTATAAATGCCAACAGCATAGTATGCCAATATGACATAATATGCCATGATCTTCTATACAGATTTTTCCAAAGGCAAAACACCATAAAGTTAAATATTAGGTGCTTGAGGAGAAAAAACAAATGTATGTAGTAAATATTAAAGAAGGTGTGATCCTTAGGAACAATCATCAAATTCAGGATTTGAAAGGCAGCTATCACTGGGGAGAGAGAAGGAGAGAGAACCTGCACAGGGTTACAGAAGGGGTTTCTAATATATTCTATTATTTCCCTTCCTTTAAAGTTCATCTTGATTTTGCCAAATTCTAACATTTGATGAAGCCAATCATGAAATAAATCATACTATTCTCTGTACTCTTTGGAAGGTTTGAAATACTTCATATAAAAATAGCAAAAATGGCCCTGATGGGTATCCAAAATGAACACATCAATAGTTTCAAGAAGGGCTTAAATTCATTGATAAAAATTGTTCTTCCTTGAGTAATGAAGCATACAATAAAAAACCAAACTCACTTTTAAAAATCCTTTGCAAATAGTTAAGTTTTGTTCATGCAAACAGTTAACACGTGTAGGAAGGTGGGGTATCAGGTTGTAAAGAAAGACAGATGTTGTATCAAAAGAGACACAATGTGCCACAATGATGAGAATATTATCTCTACATATATGGCAACAGGGCATTCACTGAAGGAAGGTCTTTGGGAGGATGTTAGCTGCAACATAACATTTCTAGTACAATGCAGATTGAAGATAATGTATCCAGTTTGGAAGATGTTGCAGTAGTTAAAGGAAAGATAAAAACAAAACAAAATAAACATGACACTGGGAAAAGGAAAGTGTAGAAATCAAGAGAATAAAATTTGGGTTTTTAAAGTAGTAGTATTTTTGTTTTTGTTTTTTTTTTTTAAATATTTTTATTTATTTCTAGGAGAGAGAGAGAGAGATACAGCGTGAGCAGGGGAGGGTCAGAGAGAGAGGGAGATACAGACTCTGAAATAGGCTCCAGGCTCTGAGCTGGCAGTCAGCACAGAGCCCAACGCGGGGCTCGAACCCACGAACCGCGAGATCATGACCTAAGCAAAAGTCGGACGCTTAACCGACTAAGCCACCAAGGCGCCCTTGTTTTTGTTTTTTAATATTTATTTTCAGGAGAGCACAAGCAAGGGAGGTGCAGAGAGAGGGGAACAGAGGATCTGAAGCAGGTTCTGCGCTGACAGCACTGAGCCTAATGTGACCAGTGAGACCATGATCTGAGCATAAGTCAGATGCTCAACGGAC